GCGAGTAGAGCGAAGTGCCCAGGTTCCCAGTGGAGGAGAGCCAAGTGCCCAGGTTCGCAGGGGAGGAGAGCCAAGTGCCCAGGTTCCCAGGGGAGGAGAGCCAAGTGCCCAGGTTCCCAGGGGAGGAGAGCCAAGTGCCCAGATTCCCAGGGGAGGAGAGCCAAGTGCCCAGGGGAGGAGAGCCAAGTGCCCAGGTTCACAGGGGAGGAGAGCCAAGTGCCCAGGTTCGCAGGGGAGGAGAGCCAAGTGCCCAGGTTCGCAGGGGAGGAGAGCCAAGTGCCCAGGTTCCCAGGGGAGGAGAGCCAAGTGCCCAGGTTCCCAGGGGAGGAGAGCCAAGTGCCCAGATTCCCAGGGGAGGAGAGCCAAGTAATCATGTGTGGTGGGGAAAGGAGAGAGCCCCATACCCAGGTACCTGGGGGAAGGAGAGACAAATTCCCAGGCAGAGTGCCAAGGTTCCCATTAAAGAAGAGCCAAGTTACTATTTCGCCAAGAGATGAGAAACATATCCCCAGTGACCTGGAAGAGGAGAGAACAATGTCCAGGTCCCCAGGAAAAAGAGAACCAAATGCACAGGTTTCCAGGGAGAGGGGAACAGGGCGCCCACATTTACAGTGGAGAAGATTTGAATCCCTAAGGCAGCAGAGTACCAAGGGCATTGGAGGGTGGCTGGGCAGTGGTGGCCTTGTATCTTCTGCGAGGTGGTGATGACAATCGGATCTGTGGAGGGCTTCAAGCAGACAATCCTGCCCATCATTGGGATTGGGGGTTGGGGGGGGCTGGGGGATGACACGGGTGTAATATGGAAGGGTGGAGTGTATTTCATGTCGATGGTGCAGATTGTGTTAGCAGTGCAGGTGATTGGAGTGTTGGATACATAAGCGAGTACGGTGATCATGTGACCAGCTTTCTGCTCTAGTCTGTATCGATGCGTTTTGCCAGCGCCATGAACCTCTGTATCCTCTCCCCGCAGCAAAGCGTCACCCTGCACAATATGGTGAAAATGTCCGTCAGCGTAAAAGTGCGTCGAGGAACCGGAGGTGAGAGCCAATTCTGCCAATGGTTCTGTGCGACCCGCAATGTATTGTAACCCAAAGCAACCGTCTTCATGTCATCGATAAGGCAGCTGATTGGTCGTTGGACTGCGCTCATCCTCTACGTCTGCAATTTCAGATGAGCTGATGGTGAATTCCTTGGATCTGGTCCCGGGCGATTGTATCCTCATTCCTCCGGAAGGTCTGCTGTTGCCGTGTGACGCCGCCCTGCTGGCGGGGGAGTGTATGGTGAACGAGAGCTTGCTGACAGGTGGGTGTCCATGCTGCGCCTTCTTATTTGATTATGAGGAATATTTTTATACTGTACAAATGTGCGTCCGACGCTGAGCTCTGAGTGGTGCCGGTTATGTATAACTAGCCAACCAGACACGTGGGATACGGTCATGGACCATGGGGAGAGTAGAAAAAGAGGGGCTGAGCATCATTGGGGAACAAGGGGTAAGATGATGGTGGGTGGGATGATGGTGAACAGGGAGAGAGGAGGCAGAGGAGATGATCTTGGACAGGGGGGAGTGGGGTAAGGTCTTGAACCATGGTGAGAATTAGAGAGGGGATGAGCACAGTCGGGGAGTACCTGTGGGAAGATGATGGCGGATGGGAGGACGGCAGTAGAGGGGGGCTGATGGTGAATAGGGAGAGAGGAGATTGTCTTGGACAGGGGGGAGTGGGATACAGTGATGGGCCATGGGGAGAATAGGTAGAGAGGGGATGAGCATCATTGGGTAACAAGGGGTAAGATGATGGTGGGTGGGATGATTGTGAACAGGGAGAGAGGGGGCAGAGGAGGTGATCATGGATGGGGGGAGTGGGGTAAGGTCTCAGACCATGGTGAGAATAGGTAGAGAGGGGATGAGCACAGTCGGGGAGTACCTGTGGGAAGATGATGGTGGATGGGAGGAAGGCGGTAGAGGGGGGCTGATGGTGAATAGGGAGAGAGGAAACAGGAGATGGT